CAGTTACCACTACTGTGCATGTGTGTCAAGGACAGAAAGGCAGATGTGGCAGTGGAAGGTGTCAAAGCAGTTTGGAGAGAAAAACAAAGAAAAGAACAAAAAAAAAAAGAAAACGATTAATCCATTATTAAATTAGTCATTGATTATTTTAATAATCGATTAGTCGTCGATTAATCGATTAATCGTGGCAGCCCTAATCAGGAGACAGAAATAAAGCACCGTGGTTTTATGCCGTTTAGTGAAATTGCAGTTCCACCAATTTGCATTTAATAATCAAGTGAAAAGGGACGGTGAGTGAAAAAAAAAGATGGATGGATGTGAAATATGCATACAATCAAAGATCTGACTCTACACATGATTTAACAGTTTTCATATATAAAAACCAAAGTCTGACACAATCATATGTGCTTAAATTATAAAGGGATTCCTCCTTGATAAGTGCGATGTGGTGTCATTTGACATTTTAAAACCAATCTAATGACCACTGGACAAGACAATGGTCTGGAAGAACAACTGTTCTTGTTTAGCTGTATCAATAGGAACATTGCAATGAAAAAAATATATAACAAAGTTGTGCCAAGCCAATCTATGTTGTCACATTCCTATATGATCAGTTTACATGTTAACAAAATCAAGGTGGTAGTTTGTTGACTTTTTATTATGACCAAATTAGTTTCACTTTTCAATCTAAGTAGCTGTGACAAGGTTGAGACGTGGTGGTGTGACAAGGTTACTGAAGGGTGGAGTCACCTTCAGACAGGAACATGTTTTTAAGCCTAGCTCTTATTAAAACATTACTACGCATGAGTTATCAAACACAGCTAGGCGTGACAACGCATGTCAGAGCAAGTTACTGTGATGTGTGCTGGTCAGTCACACCGCTTACTCGCTAATGAGTGACGGCTAGTTACTAAAATACACACGGGCTACAGGGAATTTAGACTGTAAACCATGATTTCTTTCAGTTTTTCAAATGCTTATATCCTTTCTCTAGTCTTATACAAATAACATTACGATAATGTTCCTGGTAATACATGGCAGGTGTTTCGTGCCGGCGCCGCTGACTGCAGCTATCACAGCTAACTAGCATGCAGAAAGAGTACCGGTATGTTTAAAACATGGGCGAACACTCATCCTTCTTCGTCCTAAACTTAGTTCAACATAGTCGGACTGCGTGGAATAAAATCTTACCAGATGAAGATGGTGCTAGAGTTAAGGTAAAATTACTTTGTTAGAGATGTTCCTCACAACACACAGCAGAGCCAGGAGTCACCGGTTGGAGGGCGAGCTGAAGGAGACTGCATTGCATCCTGCCCTATCAAACCCCGGCTCAGGACCCGGGTTGGCCATAGATTTGCCTGATTAAAAATGGTCTTACGTCAATGGAATCCGTAGGCCACAATAATAATAAAACATATATTAATTTAAATGTGTTTGTTTTATATGTTTTAAATAAAATTCCATTAGTATCAAAACGTCACATGCTAATTGCTGTAAAAAAAAAACTAAAAAAAAAAAAATAGTTGCACACTTACACAAGTCCGAATACCAATACAGTTATGCAGCATTAAAGCTTTTCTATGGTTCGTTAATAATAACAATTACTATATAAAACATTAATTAATAATCAAATTTTCTCCAACTATTCAAACCCGACATTACAAATTATTTATTACATTGAGTTTTCCTGATGGCTGACCTAAAACATAAAACATGAGCCAGTTTTGTAAACTGTAGGTTCTGGTTTAATTTGACAGTGCTGCAACCATCTGAGACAAAATAGACAAATTGAACAGTTGCATAAATAACATTTACGATGCAGAGATTTGGGTTTTTATGTCAGACATTACATGAAAAAAAAAAAACAAGAGGACGCAATTACACAGTTCCTCCTACAGTTTGTAGAAGGTATAAGCATTTAATTGCACACAGCAGCTAGCATTAAAACACGTTTACACTTGTTAAAACATAAAAAGTGTTTATCCGCTAGGTGGCGGTAATGCTACAATTCTTTGTTTACCAACTTCCTTTAACATTCAACGAAGAAGAGTCACTAGCTCGCGCGTTAGCTAACGCTATTAGCTTAATAAAACAGCGCTCGGTATTCAACCAACCTTAGTTTTATTACCACGACGTTTGCTTTCATTCCAATGTGAAATATATCGTTGTTTATTTGAAGGGAGTATTCGAGACATTAAAATAGGTAAGATTCTAGATGTAGTTTGTGAAATTATGCGCTTTGTTTTATTTTCAGCGCCTTCAAGTTCTTTTAGCACCGTAGCATGTTGTTTCTATCCGAGCACTATACTTAAGCAGGAGAAATAAAACCAAAGTTTATATCTTTTGTTGAGCGCATCCCTTATTAAAAATCCCCAGCAGTGTTGTATGTGGGTACATGAATTCATCGTCTCATTGTACGTGTGTTTTTCAGTGATGGATGTGGTCATGGAGGTGGATGAATGTGAGGCAAATACGCAGGATGTTCAAGATTCCAGTGATGACAGTGGTTAGTGCAAATTATGTTTTTTTCTTGTGAAACAAACATCTTTCCTTTTTTTGTGTTAATCTATTATGTTTTGATAGTTGATATCTTTATTATTAATCATTAATGAGCGCTTTGTTTTTGTTTTCCCCACAGAAATAATGCCCAAATCAGATTTCCGTACCTTTCTCTCCACAAACAAAAGTCACAGCAAGACGAGGCATTGTGAAAATGGACATGACGTACCTCAGCTGAAAAAAAGAGCTGTTGTACTTTTGACAAGACTCCCTGAGTTTACCATCAGTGCCCTTCGACCTCCAACACCTCAGCAGTTCTACAGTGAAACTGAGTCTCATTTGAGCTCTGACTCCGACAAGCAGTGGGAACCAGACAGCGATTCTGATTCAGACTTTGACATATCGAAAAAGAAGCAGAAAACTCCAAAATTCAAAAAGAGCCTCTTAAAACACACACCTCCGCCACAGAAGACCAACATCAATAGTCACAGCAGTTGTGGCAACAGTACTAGTAGTGGTAGTAGCAGTAATAACAATAACAGCACCAATAGTAACAGCAGTAGCAGCAATAGCAACAGCACCAACAATAACAACAACAGCGGTAAGAACGCACTAGCTTACTCCACTCACAAATGTAACTCAGTGATAAAGTTTAATTAGGAGTGCTTAATGTCAATTATAATTTACAATGATGTTTCCCCTGCATATAGTGACAGAAGGTGGCCCCATTATTGTATCATCAGCATTTGCCCATTCCTCCACTGAAACCACAAAGGTTCGCCCCGATTTGCCAGAGGTCGAAGTCAAAGTGGGCATGACAGTCCTGGCCAGAAGGCGAGCCATGTTGTGGCAACGAGGGAAAGTACTGGAGATTGTTACAAAGGGTAAGAGATGAACCATACTTTAAAAAAAAAAAATCTGTGTTTGCGTTGTATTTACTTAAATTACGTCAACAGGTTCTACTAAACTGAATTGCGTAAATCTAAAGCAAATTTTTCATTTACTTTATAAGTGAATGTGAAGTATTGTGTTAAATTTACTCAATTCAATTGGTATATGCAAAAGTTTAGATTATTTTTTTGTCTAGATGGGTAAAAAAGAGTAATTGTTGGTTGTAATTGGTTAGAGATTGCTGGAAACTCATAATTATTAAGGCTGAAACAATTTAAATTTAAAGAAACATTACTTTATGACAGTTTTCATAAACATTTGATCTGTGAGTTCTTTTAAATGTCAGATTATTACAGAATAACTCACAGTTTCAAACTCTTGGTTCAGCAAACATTTTGGTGTAAATATATCGTTGTAAGCTCTTTGGTTCCGGTTTAAAACTTTAATAGGTTTTAGATTTTTTTATTTGCTGTTTTCTAGTAAAGTCAAACAAATTAAATGTAAAACAAATAGTGCCTTTATCACAAGTAGTCAGAATTTGCTGCATTTTTTCCAGTATTTTGTCAACTACTTGATTTGAGAAGTACATTTTTAAAGAAATAATGGTGTAAAAAAATGTTAATTTATTTTTATAAAAGGTAAATATCTGCACTGCAGAATAGAATTTATTGTCCCGCTGAGGGGAACTTCAGGTGTCAACACCTGAAGTTCAAATGCAAGCCAAGTCTAACCCCGTTGTTGACATTGTAGCATAAAGTCTTTCTTTTAGTTACTTTTAATTGTGTAAGATGAAATCAGCGTGAGTAAAACTTCTTGTTACACTTTTTTTTTCCTTGCAGATGATGGGCGGGTAAAGTACAAAGTTAACTTTGAAGAAAAGGGAAAGAGTCTCGTATCAGGACACCACATTGCTCTTGACCGCCCGCCCAAGCTGGAGGAGCTATATGTTGGTGCTCGTGTCATTATTCAGTCCCTGGATGATGAATCGAGCTTTCAGCCTGGTATTTTATCTGAGCTTCCCAGCAGGAAGAACCGCTTAAGGTTTGTGTGTAAATGAGCAGTGGTTCGCATTTGTTTTCACATTTCTTCAGAAAATAAAAAAGGAGAACACTTTACTAAAACGTTTATTTTATGCATTCTCAGGTTCTTGATCTTTTTGGATGACCACTCTGTGCTTTATGTGAGTTTACCTGCACTTCATCTGGTTTGCAGACCACGTAAGTTTGGAATGGATCTTTGTTTTTATCTCCCTAATGAATCACAATAAATGAAAAAAAAAAGCTTTCTGTACAGTTGTGTGATTCTCTATGTGATTTTTATATTCTAAAACATCTCTGTTTTCATCACATCTGAATAGGCTTATAGCTGATATTCATTCTTTAACAGGCATTTTAAAGAAAGTACAATATAAAAGGGAGCTCTTACAGATGTTCTTTTAGTCTGTTGCTTAGGTAATATTACCTCTGCCAAGGAGGTTGTTTTTAGTAACATTAGTTTGTCTTTCTGTCTGTCTGTTAAGGTCGGGCATAATCGTATCGTGTGCAATTAATCGTCAGAAAAACATTAATAGATTATTTTTTGGCACTTGACGATTAATATGATTACTGCCACCAGGTAGACTGACTGGATATTTCTCCAGTCAGTCCACTTGATGCTCCTCTCCGCTTTAAATATGACGAACATTAAAAAAAAAATTCTGTAATTTATTTATCTAGCAACACAATATAAAATTTGATGAACAGCCTGAAGTCTGTAATTTTGACAGAGTTTGGAACAGATTTTTCCAAAAAGCAAAATTTTCCCGCTAAATTGGTCATGTGACTAGGACATGAGGGTGTCCAGGGACTCCAGGGGATTAATTGTCAAATTAATCGTTATCGGCTAAATACCACAATTAATTTTGCCAATATTGCCCAACCCTATTGTCTGTCTGTCTGTCTGTCTGTCTGTCTGCACAGCATTACTCAAAATGTTATGAACAGATTTTCAGGGAATGCTGAGATCATCCCGTTAAACAAATTATTACATTTTGGTTGTGATCTGGATCACCTACTGGAGTGATCCTAGGGTCTTGGCAGAGGTGTATGCATTCTTCATTTAAAATTTAGTACTTTTATTGTGTAATTGCAGGATTTTTAGTATCATGATGAATCCACATTTTGATATGTTTTCAGATGCTCAAATGCGGCTTTAATATAATTTCAGGTACGCAGAAAAAAAGTTTAATTTTCGTTTTATTTGTTTAATTTTTTACACAGTGGACGATACTTTAGAGGACATCCTTGACAACACTCACAAGTCCTTTATGAAACAATACTTGAAGAACTGGCCGTTTCCACATTTGACCCATTACAAGATGGGGCAATCCATTAATGTGGATGTGAACGGAGTCCTCGCAAAGTGCACAGTGGATGCTGTGGATTGCAGCTTGATGCAGGTTACTTTTGAGGTCAGTATATTTATTGTGTGTGTTTGTAATTCTGATGTTTTTGTTTTGTTTTCCTGTGATCGTTTAACCTGATTTGTGACATTGTGTTTAGGTCAGTCACATAAAATCCAAAAGCATTGCAAAAAATTGCTGCCACGATTAATCGACGACTAATCGATTATTAAAATAATCGATGACTAATTTAATAATCGATTAATCGTTTTCTTTTTTTGTTGTTGTTGTTGTTCTTTACTTAGTTTTTCTCTCCAAACTGCTTGGACACCTTCCACTGCCACATCTGCCTTTCTGTCCTTGACACACATGCACAGTAGTGGTAACTGGGGTAGGCCGTGGACGTCACAAGACATTATACAGACAGGCTCTGGTATCATGGCTACCTGACAACGGAGCTCAAAAGAGTGGGATCATTTTAAGGAAATGAAAGAGAAACCTGTACAATATCTGCAGAGCAGAACTTACCTTCCACAGCAATTATTTTTAGTTAGCATATAGCTAAAATCTAACCATGGTTATACAATAGCAGCTGCATTTTGATGTGATAAGCTGTATGTTTATATTCAATTAACGTATGATCTGATTAGTCGACTAATCGAATAAATAATCGGTGATTAATCGATTATTAAAATAATTGTTTGTGGCAGCCCTATTACAAAACATGAAAGAGGACAAATAAAAACAATTATCAAAACTTTGGAATTAAGATTTTGAATTTGAAGAATTATAATTATACCACCTTATCTGTTTCTAGTCATTTTGTTTAAATTTATTCCATTTATACCAGCCTTAATGAAAAATTACTAAATCAAAAATAAGAAATGAGAAAGAAAAAAAGGCTATGTTTATACTACACAAAAAAGTGACCCAAGTGCTAATTTTTTGCTCATATTGGTTTTTTTTATGACAGTTTGAACGTGACAACTATGTTTTTTTTTACATGTAGTACTAAATTGTAAATGTCTGAGTTAGGGGTATTGGGCTCAGTCTTAATATTATTGATGCCAATGTCATGCAGTTTTAGCGATTGGAACTTCGCTCATCTTTGGCTGCAGTACAGAAGTCAAATTATCTTTTTTTTTAAACTTTTTAGCTTGTTTGTGTCCTGGGTAACATAATTTGCATCAACATTTGATACTAACATTATTAATGTCAATACCTGCATGATGGGATCAATACTTAAGATTTTTATTTTTTTTAACTGTCAATTGCTCCTGTTCTCAGTATATTTCTGTCAGATTAAAGTTTTCTGTGAGTCAGAGTTGAGCATTAAGAACTACAGTCTGAACAGCAGGTGGCTGTGTATAGATGGCATCTCAAGAACCATGAAAAAAAAGAAAGTAATAAGACTGTTTCTTGAGATGTAACTAACCCTTTTTTTTGTAATGTCTGGTTGTCACACAGGAGAACGGGCAGAAGGACTGGGTCCACCGAGGCTCCATTCGACTGGAACACATGGCCAAGTTCCTGCAGATGAAAGAAAAGGGAGACGCAAAAGACAATTCTGACCCTAAATGATACAATCCTACAAGTTAGGAATGGAACGGCTATAAAAACAACGAGAATATAAATAGGGCAAGAAGAATATAATACTTGTCGCTGAGCATTATGCCAACTTTTTTTCTTACGTTTTTAAAATAAAAATAATCACTGTACCTTCTGTTCTTGATAGAATTTGACTTCTGACCAGACAAAAAAGTTGGTTTGAGGATGAGGTTTTTATTCATTAAATGTTTTCTAACCAGTTGTTAGTTACCCACTCATTATATTTCCATCGACCGTCAAGGTAGATATGGTTTCTGTGCCCAGGAACCTCTAAAGCATCAAACCTGGGAAACGGCTCCGTTTATTCACCAAAGCCACAAGCTAACATGATTAGACAGAAATATATATGGTTTTGTTTTTGTTTTTTCCTGAGATTTTATTTTGTAATAACACTTAAAACGTTCTGGTTCAGATCTTTTAGCTTTTGTTTTTCAGAAAAATGCTCGTGATGCATCTTTGCAGCTGTAAATTTGTGTTACATAAAATCCTTGAACTCGAAAGCTCGACCTGCTCCTTCCAGCATTAGATGAAATATAAGAGTCCTGTTGCTTTGCTTTCATTGATGGTAAGGATTTTATTTTTGTACACCTACCTTATTTCCTTCACTGTAGTTAAAAGTTAAAAACCTTTGTAAATGACTTAAATTTTCAGTATCTTAAAAACTGTATATGTATTTTGCTTCCAATAAGTCAGATATGTTCATGTAATTTGGTTTTTATTTGAAATGTTTAGTGTCCTCTTAGTATGTTCCTTTTTTCTTTGTTTAATTACAAAAAAAAAAAAAAAATCAAAATAAAGTTTCCAATACGTTTTTCTCTTGCATGTAGTTTTTGGCAAATCCTAATAATTTTAAAAATCATGTTCACCTCTCAGCTATATGCATGCATTTAATTTGAAATAAAGCTAAAATTGACTGAGATTGTGTAGCTGTTAATGAAGTAAGGTTAAAGTCAGCCTGGTACCCCAACACCCTCAGGAGGAGGGGCCTGAGCTTAATTTGCATGTGAATTTTGTGAGCATAAAGGAAGCATCTTAGGCAGATTAAAAAAGTTTAACCAAATACCTTTTTAGTCTTACTTTAGTCATTTCCTGGATGGCTACTTTTTAATTTAACTTGAGTAACAATATGTTGAAGTAGTGCTACTTTTACTTGAGTACAATTTTTGGGTACTTCATCCACATACTCAAAAAGAAAAAAAAAGTAGGTCCTCTGGATGGGTTCTTTAGTGAAACGTTTCGTCTCTCCTCCAAGAGTCTTCAGTCTGATGAGTTTCAGGTGAACTCAGCCTTATAAGCACTGCCTCCACATGGTGGACAAACAGGTTAGTCATATGCAAAAGAGGTCATCGCCTAACAATAGGCTTGATTAGCTCTATTGTTCATGGAGGGTCATGTGCCCCGTCACCTGACTCATTGGTTTGGATGCTTCGGCTGTGGTTATTTGGTGTTTTGTTATGTAGTGAGTGCAAGTGGGGTTCAACGTCCCCTTGTTTTTCTCTCTCTCTCCCTCTTTGTGTTGGTTATCGTTGGGGCCCTGATTCACACCTTTTGCTCACAGGGGGCTGAGTCATACTTGCAATAACTGTGTTGAAGATCATTATTCGATCATTATTATTTTCCATTATTATATATTATTAGTGTTCCATTTTATTCATGAGCTTTTCCGTGTTGAGTCACTTCCGGGTCACAGGCCGTTCGGCGCCCCAGAGCTCCATATGAAAGTCATTGGAAGATTTTGAACATGCGCAGTAAGTCCCCAATGCAAAATAATAGCGTGGCCTGTGCAGCTCACCACCCCGCAGCTGACCTCTTGTATTCATTTCTATGGGGTCCACCCTGTCGACGACTCGACGTCATATTGATGCGGCAGCCAGCAGGGCTTCAGGAAGCGGATTTTGGAGAACAAACAAGAATGGAGGAGAAAACAACACCGTAAGCCTCTTATTATCTAAACATGTTCAAAGCAGAACATATAAGGAGAAACTTAAAGTGGTGTAGCTTGGACCGGAAAAGCCAAACATAATAAAAATTGAGCAAGAACGTGGTTTAGCATTACGGCTTAGCTAAATGTTGTTAGACATGTAACAACTGCTCGTCCTAGATCTGAATGAATAATATATTCTCATTGAACACTTCTAAACAAAGTTGAATGTGCTGACAGCTTGTGAAATTGTCATCAGTGTTACTTCCTAAGTGGACAGTTTAATTTCACAGAAGGTTGATTTACATGGAGTAATTGTGTTGGTGTTAATGGTGAACAAAACTTAATATAATATAAAAATATTTGTATGTTTTAGTTTAGTTTTGCTTTTTATATATTACTATTGTTTGAATTTATTC